TCACGAGTCAGTCCCACCTGCCTACCTACCTCCCTGCCTTGCCTGTAACTAACATTTGCAGAACACACCATGCCGCAGCTCAACACCATGGACTTTCGGCTTTGCCCATGAAGACCCTTGATGAATTCAAGAAGGTCGGTGGTGTCCCCACTGGCGGAAGTCATTCTGCACATGAAGAATATGAGGGTGCACCTCGACCATATAATGACAAACTTGCCACGACCTTTGAGAAGCTGGAGGAGAAGTTTCACGGCACTTCTTCGGGCCCTACCACCACGAAGATCCACCGGCCCAGCGACTCAGGTGTTAGGGGCATGGGAAATGGCGTTAATACTGATGCACCAGGAAGAGAGAATCCCTACGCCCCTGGAAATGGGATTGATGTTGCCCACCGACACACTGACGGCACTAAATCCAGTATGGGCGATTGCATGAACCCTCGCACAGATGCTGATCGAGATGGAAAAGCGGGTGCCATGGACTAGGTTCAGGTATATCGGTATGTAAGCGCGGAGCTATTAATGTCGCTACAGGATCACGGGAAATATCAACAGGGTTATATATGTTAGATACAGCAACGAGAAATATCATGCAGCGACAAACAAAAGTATTTTGTATTTGCGACCCCATGTCTGCTTGACTGCTGTCAATGACGCCGAGGAACATTCTGTGCAGGCCAAACATCAGCACTAGATACCATCCTTTCGTCCTCGTTGCCGTTGTCTATGAGAAATGTCTCCTCATAGCAGCCTCGGCTAACAGAAGCAACGGACAGAACGGATGCTTGGCTTAGTTCCAGTTGTCTTTGGAAGACTTTCAGGGCGGCTCCAATTTCTGCTGCTCTACAACCAACTGTTGAGCCGATGCGGGGTTGCGAAAACGTCGTCGATCGGATCCGTGTCGCGTTTAGGACGAACTCCTTATGTGATTGCAAATACGCTCGGAGAAGGTGCCGTCATGGTGGAGAAGGATCATGGCTCACTCTGACGGCACCAACAGTGGGCCGGGCATTGATCTATCACTTCCTACCCGAGGAAGAGTCCCTAGACCCATTCATTTTCTTGCAAGACACTGTTTCCTCTGGTTGTTGAGGCTGCTTTGTCTAGAGTACACCGACCATATCCCATCACAGCGACCATGTCTGACGAGCTTATCTTGTACGATCTCCCTTCCAAAGGAGGGTTCAGCTGGAGTTTGAATCCTTGGAAAAGTAAGCCCAGTCCCTTGCTGCGGGCCGAGGACACGATATCGTTCGAAAGGCCATTCGTCCGTCCAATTGGTCGTCTCTGACAGCAGAGCCAGCACGCCTTGCTCTGAACTACAAAGGCATTCCATATAAGACTGAGTGGATCGAGTATCCGGATCTGAAGCCGACTTTTTCGAAGTTGTAAGTACCGGCGTTGATAAACTGAGAGGGACTCTCCAGTCTTGTCTGCGAGTCTCCGTGTGGCGGAGGGATGAGGGCATAATAGGTGCTCTTCATCCCCAGACCGTCATCTGCTTCACCCACGCACACAGCGAGACGACCGAACGAACAAACTTACTCATTTCCCAATCCAGTGGCATCCCTCCGAACAGCAGCGGACCGTATGAATACACCTCGCCGGCCATCCGCCTCCCTTCTGGCGAATACTTGATGGAGTCCCGCGCAATTGTTGACAAGCTCGAACAACTGCATCCCTCGACATCCCTGCACCTAGACTCATCGTACCTGCCACGCATCGAGCAGCTCTTGCCAAATTTACTAGGCCAGATCCGGCCCGTTTTTCTGCCCTTGGTGCCCAAGGTTTTCCTCAACCAACCTTCTTACGACTACTTTGTTGCCTCGCGAGAGAAGGCGCTGGGCATGTCGCTCGATGAGTATGCTGCGAAGAATACGGACAAGGCCTGGGAGGATGTCAAGCCGTTCGTGAGGGAGCTCGCCGCGATCTACGCCGAGAACTCGGACGGACCATTTTTGATGGGAAAGCAAGTGTCGTACGCCGACATGATGGTGTTGGGTTTCCTCAGAATGATGGACAGGTTGGGAAAAGTGGACAAGTTCTTTGCAATGGAGGGCGGAGAGAAGTTGAAGGGGGTTTATGAAGCCGGTGCGAAGTGGTTGGAAAGGGATAGCTACTAAGGAAAGAGAGGGGAGCATAGGGTTTCCCCAATCCAGCATACACACCTCCCACTCGATCGGAGCGAGCTGTATTTTCTATCCTCTCGTTGTCGAGAATCGAGACCAAATTATACACTCTCCTCGATGTAAAGCTCAGACCTGTGCGTACAATTCTTGACCTCGCCACGTTGTTCAGCAGAATCCCATGCGCTTCGTAATAATACATACCTTGCTAGGTAGTTGTTCTCATACTTTTAGAAAAACCTCCGTGGATGCATGCATACAGGAAGAGGACAAGTGCGCTAACCAACCAGCCAGCCAGCATGACATGGCGGCCGCATGTGCCGCACGACCATGGGATGAATCTGTGAAATCAATCAAGCGGGCCCGTCCACAAGGCTGGCTGGCGCTGGGGGACTGTGTGGCTTAGGAAGCAAGTCGAACGTGATTGAACGAGGAGCATTTGGGCTTTGCCATCCCGACCCAAATCCAGCAGGGACCGGGGAAATTCATCTTATGCGCTAAAAGATTCTTGCAGTGGTTTAGATGCAACACTGCTGGCAAATAGAGACTGAATAGCGGAGGGGAGCTGAATAATTGTGCTTCGGAGCGGAGCATTATTTACTGTCGAATCGAGGACACCACCCACAAATGATCTTGGATTCTTAGCATGCATTTACTCTGCATCGCACCAATCTCCTCGATGTCTCTGATCTTCTGCCATCCCTGGTTTACTGACTCGAATCCTAACTGGGTTCTTGTCCTCTGCAAATTCAGGTTGGAAGTCACTCTAGAGCTGTATCACGACCTTGCCAAAGTTCTTCTGCTGCCACTGGTATTCGTAAGCCTCCGGCGCATCCTCGAGGCTAAATGTCTTCTCGTCCACCACCGGATGAATGTTATTCGCGTCAATGCAGCGATTCATCTCGATCAGCTGAGTCTTTGATCCTATCAGGATCCCGCGGATGATGCAGCCCGCAGACAGAGCCGCCAGTGTATTGGGTTCGTCCTTCGCTTTGAAACCGCCTAGGAAACCGATCACAGAAATCACTCCTTCGAGTTTGATTGCTAGAGATAAGTGTCAGACGATGCTAGGATATGAAATAGTGGACAATGCAACGAACCTTTCAACGATTGTGTCATTGTGCCGGGCCCACCAACCTCAATGATATGATCTACGCCCGCTTTACCAGGGGACAGCCTCTTTGCTGTCTCGCCCCAGTTCGGGTCCTTCTTGTAATTGATGACAATATCAGCTCCCATCTTTTCCAATCGCTTTGCCTTCTCATCTGATGAGGTTGTTGCAATGACGGTCGCACCGGCAGCCTTCGCGAATTGAATGGCGGCAAGCGAGACGCCGCCTGTTCCTTGGGTCAGGACCACTTGTCCAGGTTTCAAGGCTTTGGATTGAAGACCGAAAAGGGCGTTCCAGGAAGTGAGGGGAGCACAAGTCAGAGTCCCCGCCTCGGTTGGAGTAAGATTTGATGGAGCATGAACGAGCCCCGACGCTGGGAAGACGGCATACCTGCGTAGACAGCCGTGGGCGGTGCCGCCCAATGTGGTGCTCATCATCTCTGCGGTAACAGGACCGTACTGATGTGCTTGGGTGAACTGTGTGACTACCTTGTCGCCTTCTTCGAATTGGGTTACTTTCGTGCCCACGGCCAGAATTTTGCCCGCGCCATCGGAGGCGGCGACACATGGGAGACTGAGCGGTAGCGGATACTGGCCCTGTACACTATGTTTCAACCTTGGGATCCGGGGTTGAATGTGTGCGCTTTACCTTGAGTATAACCAGATCTCTGTAATTGAGAGACACTGCTTGGATTTGGACTAAGCAGTCGTTCTCACCAAGTTCCGGGACAGGGTAGTCCTCGACGAATTTCAAGTTCCCCCATCCTGGTGTCTCCGGGCTATTGGATTCGATGACCCAAGCAGGTGTAGTCTTCGGAAGAGACATATTTAAGAACGAGGTTTAATGGAAGTATTAACCGAGAGAAATGGAAACAAGGCGGATGAAAAGGGCACTTGAAAAATCGATTCAAATTCGAAGAAGACGTTGGCGAAGACTGTGGGAAGGCCTCAGGCAGATCTCGAACTTATATAGATGGAGCCACAACACCATTTTACATACCTTATACGCTCCACTTACCTGTAAAAGACCCAACGATGAAGACATCTGCTTATCTCCGGAGAAAGGGGTGCGAGTGGTTGGATATCCGGCAGAGAACGGTACTACCGAAGTCGCTTGAGACCTAACTGGCGGGGTTGCATGATCTGATGTCCTGTCTGCCGCATTCCAACAGCTCATGGTAATGTTGACGTTTCGCGCCTGACGCAGCGCAACCTGGAATATATGGGGCCACTGGGGCTAAATGTGTATGCATGACAACTCGTCTCAGGAACTGGAGCTCCTTGTACAGTCTGCTGGTAGGTCGTTCTCAAGCCCCCATATCCTAGTACGCCAATCGCTCGATGGGAGCTCAATGCTGCCAGGCCAGGACGTCCCTGCGTTCTCGCTAGTGGGGTTTTTGAATATCTGAAGGCGGGCGTCAGAATTTATCAGCAGACTAAGGTCGCCCGTCTAAACTCCATGATTAATAAGAAGTGGCAGTGTGGCCGCTGGTGGTGGTGTTCATCTGGAGGCGTTAGGAGAAAAGAGCTGATATGGTTGGGCATTCACCATGAAGCGCAGATTGTACGGTGAGTGTTTCTGATCCACGCGTTCCTTCCCTTTTCGGATCTTAGGGCAACGCACGAAAATCTTGGCGCATCCCGTGAAAATGAAGACTGATGGTTTAGATTGTTGTCGACCTCCCGCAAGGCTTCAACTAGCAACCTTCAATATCCTGGGACATCCGCAGATTGCGAAAAACTTGACAACTATCAAGTCGCAATCATGTCTCAACCTGCCCTCAACAAGATCGCCCACAACAGCCCTTCGAGGCAGCATCCTTCGGAGTTGGAAATCAGCATCGCAACTGCTCTTTATGAACTCGAGACCAACATCCCTGACCTTAAGGTCGCCTTGAGACCGCTTCAGTTCGTGTCCGCTCGCGAGGTATGAGACGTTTGTTCATCAGGCAGACCTCCAAATTGCCTGCAACGTTCTAGAATAACGGACATCACAATGCTAACCAGGCTTTTCTGCCCTCCAGCTCGAAGTCGGCCATGGCAAGCGCGCCGTCGTCATCTTTGTTCCAGTGCCCCTGCTCGCAGGCTTCCACAAGGTCCAACAGCGCCTGACCCGCGAACTCGAGAAGAAATTCTCAGACCGCCACGTCTTGATCCTTGCCTCGCGCCGCATCCTTCCCCGCCCCAAACGCTCCAACCGCTCTCGCACCAGCCAGACCCAGAAGCGTCCGCGAAGCCGTACTCTGACTGCTGTCCACGACGCTATCCTTGCGGATGTCGTCTATCCAGTTGAGATTGTGGGCAAGAGATTGAGGACCAAGGAGGATGGAAGCAAGGTGTTGAAGGTCATTCTTGATGAGAAGGAGCGGGGTGGTGTGGATTACAGACTCGACACCTACTCCGAGGTGTATCGGAAGTTGACTGGACGAGTTTGCGGCTTCGAATTCCCCATGAGCAGCTCTACCGACTTCTAGTTGATAGGTGGAAGGGCAAGTGATGAGACGAATGCAAAAGGATAGGCCGAGGTGTGTTGACATGATACGAGAGAGCCTGGAGTGCACAGATGCATCCAGAGCGGAGGACAATCGGTCTATTTCATCGCTCTGCGCAAAGTCTTATTGTATGGATGGACCGGGTCTCTGCGGCATGCTACCGGGAACATTGTGCTGGATCGAACCAAGGATGGAGTACCGTTCAGTTGAGGATTGAAACCCGCGGCAAAAGCCCAGCAGACATCTTTCGAGCGAGGAATAGAAGACAAAATATTTGTTCAAATTGCCGACCGTTCCTTTTGTTGACCTTTGTCCACGATTACTCCTGCTACATGAATTCTCCTCCGCCGAGTATATCCTTCATATTGACATTCCCACTTCCTCGTTCTAAAGGTTGCGGCTGCCCCTTACCAGCCTTCCACCCAATCATGTAAATCACTCTAAAAGTGGCCGGTATTCTATCCTTTTCATCCTCTTTACAATGCAATTCCCTGTATATGGCCTCGTTGGCCAACAACACATCTCGACTCAGGGGGCCGCCCATGGACTTGAGAATTGCATTTCCTTCGCCCATGGCTTGAATATCCGTCATCAATGCGAACGTGTCGGGGTATTCGACTATTATGTCGTCAACGTCGACGGTCAAAAGCTTGAATCCAGCTCGGCCCAGCAGATTCCCCACGTCTCTGACGTCCGCTAGTGGTGATATGTGCGGAGACACGCCGCCACGGCGCTCAAGATCAGCCAGCTGCAGAGATGAGCGTAATTCAAAAAGTGTGTCTCCGCCGAACATGGCCGCGAGGAACGGGGCGTCAGGTTTAAGGATGTTGTTTATGCTTGACAGGACGGATGGGAGGTCGTTGATCCAATGGAGAGATAGAGAAGAGAGAACAGCATCGAAAGTGTTCGCTTCAAAAGGCAGCGTCTCAAGAGAAGGGAGGACCTCTTGTGTGATCGGAACTGTGGGCGCAGGAAGCGAATCGTCGCGGTGGAGAGTCGTCGGAGAAGTATCTGCGCAGGTGAGGTGATGTATCCGTTCTGAGAGAGGGGTCTTGGACTCTGCTGCGCCTTCTGGCAACTCTGGCGCGATCATCGGCGGCTTGGAGAGTGCTCGTGCTATGTTGCAGCTATTGGCGCCCAGATCGAGTACATGGGGGAACTCGCGATTGATGTCGAGGAGTCGGTCAACAAGTCTCTGGGCCACCTCATCTTTCAAATAGTCGACCTTGCGACTGTATTCTGCATTTGAGGCGGCCCGTTCTTTCTGGAGGTACTTCGCATTCTCATTGAAGACCTGGAGAGTTGGACCGCCGGGTGCCTGTATTGCGTATGACCTGTGGAAGCATGGACGTCGTCGTAGAGCTGCAGTGGGAAGCCATGGCCGAAGTGCCGGTGGCTTCATTGTGGAATATATCTGGTACAGGGACCGTTGATGGTGGACAATGGGGAGTGCTTGTAGAAAAGTCGGGCTGGTCGGCTTGCAGAATGATGTCAATTTCGAGGAAGGAAGGTTACCCGCAACCGCGTCTGACCGCGTCTGCCTTGATGGCTAGAAATAATTCCAGCTCTCTAAAAGGCGAAGAGAAGGTAAGTCGGTATTTTCTCTCGTCCAGATCAGATTGAAGGCGACATCCTATTTGGCGTGTTTTTTTCATAAAATTGTGCCGCTCCTGACCGCAAATTGGGCCCAGGTCGGCGCCATGGCGGTGGCATTTCCCTACACTTTCGTCTCTTGCCCCTGTTCCGATGCTTCCAATAGAGCATTGAAGTCGAAGCGATCCTCGCGCGATGTTGACTTTGAGCAAGTCCAAGACGGTGAAGAGACTTTTGACCCGCGACATCCACGTTCTGCCTTTTCTCTGTTTCCCCCAGAGCATTTGTTGTACTGCGAAGAATGCCACGAGATCAAATGCCCTCGCTGCGTGACCGAAGAGATCAATGCGACCTACTGCCCAGACTGCCTCTTTGAGAGTCCTAGGGTCATGGTGAGGAGTGAAGGGAACAGGTGTCCTCGAAATTGCTTTCATTGTCCCATATGCACATCCCAGATGATTACCACTTCCATCGGCGACGCGAAAGACGGACCTTTCATCCTCAACTGCAACTACTGCATGTGGAGCACCCTCGATGTTGGTATCAAGCTCGACAAGGCGACTGGTGTCCGCGGTCAGCTTGATGACATGGCAAATGGGGGCAAACGAAAGATTTCCACATTGAAATCACCGCCGTACCAAGATGATCCGGCACGCAAATCTTCACTGTCCCGACCCCCTTTATCTCTTGAGGAAATAGGGGAGGTTGTGGAGGCCAAAGAGCAACCCGAGTCACAACCTGCTCTAGATCCGACGTCAAGGTTCAACGCCCTGAAGACATTCTACAAGGACCAAATCGCCGAATCGTCAGCAACTGACGCCGGCTTTCCCACATCTGCGCTGGACATGGCCTACTCTTCCCCATCATCACTCCAACGTATCATGAACATCTACACCAATAGAGAAAACTCGCTTAAACGGGCTCGACAAAAGCTTACAATCATGCGAGAGGCTCGGACAGCGAGTGAAGGACTCAAGCTTCATGACCCACGTGCTTCTACACCCTGCGAATACGACGAAACTACAACCATGCCACAAAGGACTTTCCAGAACCCTCCCTTCATCGGCAATCCCCGAGCACGCACAGTCTCGGAGCTCAGGCCTATGCCCACACTGATGCGTACAAAACGATCCAAGCGCTGCGCAACCTGTAAACACATTCTCACTCGGCCGGAACTGAAAATCTCCTCTGCACGATACCGCATCAAATTGATAGCGCTCAGCTATATCCCCTTTGTGACCATTAAACCGCTCCCAGTCCCTGGTGGCCTGTCCCCTGCAGGACCTGATGGAGGCGATGTTGTCCTTGCGGCCGCAAAACCTGTCCAGTTCATCATGACACTACGCAATCCGCTATTTGATGATGTGAATGTCAGTTTGGGAAGCCCCAGCCTGACGCCGGGAAAGCATGGACATCGAGTCACGATCTTGTGTCCACAGTTTCAGATCGGGAAGAACAGCGACGCTTGGGACGACGCTCTTAACAACCCTCCGAGCCAAGCAACGGCCAGTGCCAACACAGCGGGCGGAGAACAGATCGCCGGCAAACTGTACGACCATGGTCGGAACTGGGCGAGCGTGGTCATTGAGATTATCCCGGCGAGCATTCTGAGAAATGAGGGTGAGGAACTGGAAGAGGACGAGGATGTCATTGAGATTCCCATTAGAGTGAGGCTAGAGTGGACTGTTACCGAGGATGAGACTGCTGGTATTGTAGAGAGACGGAAACGAGATAGGGAGAAGGTGCTCGAAGACGGGGAAGAGGCGGATGATGGGAAGCGAGAGTTGAGTTACTGGATGGTCCTCGGCATCGGAAGAGTCGACTGTTAACAGTAAAGCAACAACTTGATATGAACCAGGTGCTCGAAGAAATACCCCCGTCCCTAAATGATCTGCATTTTCACCCAAGGGCCATTGCATCGAGCACCGCGTTGTCCATTCGTCTATGTCTTTTGCATCTGCCCGGGGCAGAGATCTTTTCAGCATGCCACCGGGGTATACAACCCGCCCGTCACCTCCTCCCATGACATGTAGTTTGAAGTTGTATATAGGTAGCTTTTATTGGCGTAAGCTTCATACCGTTCGTCGATCGCACATGACTCTCACAATCCCACCAACGCCCACAACCTCTGTCAACTTCTCATGCCAGCTCAATAAGACACTCATAACTTGACCACCTCCGCCTTCCCCAAAATTCCTCGCTTGTATCTGACTGAAGCCCGTGCCCGTTGCCTGCGGACTCACGCCTTTTCCACTGGTTGTACCGCTCCCGCTGGCCATGCCCTTGTAGATGTACTTCATCAAGGTATCTCCCATTGCCGTCCCACCCGGCTGTTTCAGGATTTCCGTCAATATCCGACTGACATCGCTCTGTCTGATTCCTTGTAGCACTTCCAAGACAGTGGTGAGATGGACTTGCTTTGCACCCTCGTCGCCTGCTAGAGGAGCGGTCTCCAGTGCCGATTGTAAGGCACCCACACTGTCACCGGCGCGGAGGAGTTGCCGGACCTGTTGACCTATCTGTGCGGATTCAGAGGATGTGGAGGGTGCGGGCAGGTTGGCTGGGAGGAGAGTGGAGAGAGGGAAGTTCAAGGCAGAGTCAGGATCGTAGGCGTCGACATTGATAGTGCGCCAATTTATGTTGGCCATCGTGGAGGGCGCAGCGGAGCCCTGCTTATGCCTCAATGGCGGGGAATGCAATGAGGACTCGGGATCTGCCAACAGCACTGGCTCTGAAATATACGGACTGGGTGCGTGGAGTAATCGCCCAGAGATTGTCTTTAGAGTGTGCTGGTTGGGTCGACTGGGATTACGGGAAGAAATTGCAATGCATGTGTGGAGTTATGAGGTTGAATGGAAAAGGCTCCAAGTAACAATGCGGGATAAGAGCGAAAGGCATGAAAAGGGACTCTTGGTGGCACTCTCGGTAGTTGCGGTTACGTAATCTGCCAAGACCTCCGCTCGGGGCTTCGATTTCAGCCTTGCGAGTGCGAGATACTGCCCAGCGAGCCAGTACTGACTGCTTTCAACACCAACTCTGCATCTCTACGGAGCACCGGCCTCATTTGCTATCTCCACGTCTGTCATGCTCGTGTTTCTGGAAGATTCTGGTTGAAGCTGTTGACAGTCAATATAGGTCTTTTGGAGGAGGCTTTATAAGTTATACAATACGAAGCCCGGTCTCTCATCCTGTCCTTCTCTGTTGAGACCCCAAGCTTGAGGGCTGTCATCATGGACCGTGGTCCTCCTCAGGTCTCTTCGGTATTTTCCGGCGAAAGATCCGCCCTCAGCTCGATGCATAACACAGCTAAACATCGAATTAGCCTCGCTGCCGACCAGGTGCTCGTTTGAAGGCCATCGAGATTCGCTGAGTGTACGATGATTGACTTACGTGTTGTCCCAGATGATCAAGTCCCCAGGGTCGTTCCATGGAATGCTTAGGGTATACTTGTCCTGTGTCGCATGCGCCATAAGCTTGTCCATAAGCTCCTTCGACTTTTCCGGAGGGACATCCACGACATGGTCCATATGGGCGGCAATGTATAAATTCATCCGACCTGAAGGTTCATGCTTCTGCACAATGCGATGTTTGTGCATCGGAAATTTGGTCACGTCGACGTCTTTGAAATAATCTGGTGCTGCCTTCTTGCGCGACGAATAGAGAGAATGGGCCCCAACATAGTTCTTTTCCAAGAGCTCAGCCTTCAGCTCCGGGTCCAATTCATCAAATGCCGTCCTTGTGTCGGCAAACCCGGTATTACCACCAGTGTTGGGCGGTGGAAGCTCGTGCGCCTTCAGAATCGAATACGATGCCCGTCGTGGATTAAATGACGAGTCGACATGGTACAGGGCGTTACCCTTGTTGTACTGGGCACGTGGACTATCTGGCGACAGAACAGTGTTGGTATCGGGGTCGATATTGCCAGCATCAAAAAGCTCATAGTACTCATATCGTGGCTTCCTCCCGTTGGTCATGTACGGTCTGATGTCATCCAAGTCGCCGAATCGGCGAGAAAATTCAACGTGCCCTGTGTCGTCAAGCCCAGTCTTACGGAACACAATCACGCCATACTATGAAGGGGTCAGAGTCTGGAAACTTGCAGCAGGGTAGTCATTCGTAGGGGATTACTTTTGCAGATGCGGCGAGAATCTCTCTGAACACATCATCTGGAATTGGCTTGGAGAAATCAACGCCCTCAATCTCAGCCGCGAATGTTGGGTGCAGCTTCTTGATTTGGATCTTATTGAACTCGGTCTCTGGTGTCAGAAGAAGCCCAGGCATAGTGTCGGCTAAGGCAAAACCGAAGCGCAATGTTCAACCCTTGAGCGTTGGTTAAGAAATGTTGGGCCGGGCGAAAAGCAGACAGCAAGGCCACCATCTTGTCTTATATCTTGTGGAGTATGGACCGAAACACCCCAGACCAGGCATTCGGCAATTCTCCGTTCATTTCGAATGCATCTGCCGAAGCCCCATTCTCGCTCCTGTTACTCGAGAGACTTGTCAGCCTTGAGGTTCCCCACAAAAGAACAGGGACAAAGAGTGCGGGGAAGATTGGAAAGATTCATACTCACGCATGAAAATGGAGGAGCCATGTATGATACTCGTTCTCCCAAGTTCCAACGCCCACGAAAGTGATACGCGTAGTGGGAGTCTCGGGGAAATCCGAATCCTCCATCCTGTACCGTGCACTGTCACTAGTTGTCTGGCTTTTTCGCGTTGAAATGACTTCTGATTACTTGCTGTGACTTCGGAAGATTCTTCTACCGTTGATCGAGATGTGACTTTGGTCTCTGCCGACTTCTGACAACTGCTCTGGTATGTGCATGATGGAATACTCAACCATGTTGGCCAGTCAACATGTTCCGTCGTGGTTAACGCGCTGGTGTCAGTCGACTCCTGACCACTCTTTACCGACTGTCAGAAGCTCTGCATTGAAATCAAGGCCCGCGACGTGTGACGTTCATTTATAAAGACAGAGGACAGTCTGACCATTGACGCTATCACTGGCTGGGGTAATAATGAAGGCAACTCTCTTCGCTAGTTATAGATTTCAGTCACCCAATGTGAGTTATACCTTGGTAATGATGTTCTGGTTTGACCACAGGTGAGACTGCCTCTGTGTTGAGTCTGGAAACTGAGCTGTCTGGAGGGCGAAACTAACGTAGAGACCGAAGCAACTCACTCGGAACACATCACTAAGACTACGGGAATCTTACTGGTAGTGGAAGCCTTTGACAGAAATTTCAGATCACAGCAAACAACGCTGACCTGCTCAAGGCGACGGCGACCGCTTGGGCGAGAGCAAAGATTGCTTCAAGCACCCTCAGTGACAGTTCCCTTTCTTTCATTAAGTCTTCACTACAATGCCACCAACAACGCGCAGCCCGGTCGTTACTCCTCATCTTCACTCACCCGTCATTCTCAGTGACAGGGAGTGGAAATTTTTGATTCAGCACGCCGTGGTGGTGGACAGTTGGGCGAGATTTGTCTCTCCTGCATCTCTTGGATTTCTGACCTTTCATGTCCGACATCTCATCCGCAGTCCGTGAGCTTTGAATAATTGTCAAGGCCATATTCTCAGCCCGAGTTCCACATTCGCTGACCTGCCGCAATGGCGCGTTTCATTCATTTGGTCGTCTTCGGCCTGGTCGCCAGCCTCAACCACCCAGCCCAAGCTGCGCGACTCGGATCGGACATCAAGCGTGCTGATGCACATGTTGACTGCCCTACCTGCGACAATGACTCTCACCATCCTGGTAGGTCTTCCCAAAATGTCCAAAATTGTCCACTAACGAGGTGGCCAGGTCCGCATTCTTGGGGAGACTGGAGCATAGCCAGCAGTCCGACAAGCAATGCCCCCGTTGTTCCATCCAGTTCCTCTGTCTCGACTCATGGCGGCGTCAGCTCTTCGTCAGTGACTTCGTCGGTTGAGACGCCCGCGAGTACATCGAGCTCCAGCGCATTCACCTCGCAGACTTCGTCGAACTCGGGCTCAACTCCCTCTGGCTCGACAACAAGTACAGGAGTTGCACCATCTGTCACCATGTCTTCGTCCGCTTCCTATGTCTCTAGTACGCAGTCGATTAGGAGCATGACCTCCTCGATGCTAAATCACCCTTCGCTTAGTGGCTCTACAAACGGGACATCCACCAGTCAGATGGCCTCGGTCTTCCCTTCTGGAACCATGTCTTCATCCTCTCGAGGCTCATTGTCTGTTGTCCCGCAGTCAAGTCAGCTCAGTACTCGGGCAACAGGGTCTGCTACAAGGGAATCGAACCTTTCTCAGCCAGTCACACCATCGAGCATAGTTCCGCCCTTCTCGGCAAACAGCACATTGAGCATGGTTCAATCTTTTTCACGGAACAGCAGAATGTCTTCACAGACATTGTCATCACAGGGACCAACCATGAATAGGACCTTATCAACTGTGAGCTCACTTTCTGCTGGCAATGTTACTGCTGCTGGTTCTGAAGTCGTTTCTTCATTCGCCACCACGATCGATCTAACTTCAACGACATTTGTCACGGTCATTCGCACAACCATCAGCATCGTGCAAGGGTCCTCAACGATCCAGATTGCTGGTTCCAGTGTTCCTCTTCCAGCCCCAGTGTCGTCGTCGTCGACTGTTAGAGGCTCACCGACACAGTCTCCATCAGGCTCAAGATCATCTTTTGGTGAATCGGCGCATCCGACTTCGGCCAGGGAGAGCTCCTCTTTCAGCATTACTTTCAATTTGTCGCCTGTGCCTGGGTCAAGTTCCTCCAGTGGTACCTCCATCCCTCTCCCTCTGCCGGCGTCGAGCTCATCTCTCAGTGGGACGCTTGGCTCCCTGGCTGGAATCACGGTGACTCCTTTCCCACCTCGACCCCTGCCCACGGTTTCACTCTTCGGCGAAATGTCATGTGGCTACAATTACACAAACGAGACCGCATCCGGCTCGTACTCTGTTGCTCCATGGTGCTGGCCCTTGTCAATCTCTGGGGAGTCAAGCATGACGGAGATTGCAGGAACAGTCGTGGTTGCCAGCACCGTCAACTGCTTATGTCCCTTCTGTTGGCTTGCAGACCCACTATGTTACGCCCAAAAGCCGTCAGGGTCGAGTTGTGGCGATGGCTGGATTTGCTCCGTGACCACTTCTGCTGGACAATCTGGCGTTTGGCTTGCGCTCCCTACCGGCTTCTCTTATGACACAAATACACCGAATCCATGGAGTATTACTTCTGAGCAAGGCGTGACCAGAACGAGCGGCGGCAGTAGTACCACGTCGATGTCATGGACTGCTACGCTTTCACACAGCACCCGGAGTATTCAGGGTGGCTACGTTGACTTTCCGTTCTGGGCTTGGGCTTGTGTCGGCCCTTTGTGCAAACCTGGTTGTGGTGATGTCCTCGACTGGGTAGGATCCATAGCTGGATGCATCTTTTCAATGCTGGGATTAAAATGCCATTTACCATGCAACAATCTGGGTTTCAATGGATTCCCAATCCCCACGGTACGTATTCCAAATTTCAGCCCGCGACCTTCTATCATGTGGAACTAACTAATGCAGATTCCCATTCATCCTCCGATTCCTCCTCTGCCCTCTGCAACTTTGACCATTCCTACGATCCATTGTACAGCATCGCCGTGTACGACCAACCCAGCAGCAAATCCATCGAATGAGCCAACGACGAACTCGCCAAGTTCGTCGATTACGTCCAGTTCGTCCAGTTCATGTTCATCGACAGCATTTTCTTCATGCATAGACATCTGCTGGACGCTGAGCTCAAATGGAACTGTCTCTGCCACTCAATCGTGCACGACCGAATGCACGACCGTTAGACAGTGCTCTGGAACAAATACACTTACCACCACCACTCTCAACTCCTCGGCAATAGCTCCGGCTTGCACGGCTAATTCCTGGTGGTATGATCCGTCCATATCAGCTGAGATTGCCTCGTGGATTACTCAGTTTCCTCCTATTCCCGATAACGCCACAGTTCAGTTCAGTACATTCAGCTTCGGGTCAAATACCACACAGACCATGGGCAACACCACCTCGAGCATCTTTCCGAGCACGTCTCATTCGGCAACATTGACCTCCCAGAGTTTGACCAGTACCAGCTCTCATGTCACCGCCTCCAACCCTCCTATCACAACTCCGAGCAGCCTACGGGATTTCACGGTAGCGGCCACGGATGACAACGGCAATGTGTATAGCGAGGTATTCTCAGGAGGAGTACTGATATCGTCTACATTGGTCTCGTCACTTCCCACGTCGGGCGCAGGTGGCCCCTGGACATTCGGCACATCAGGGGTTTCGCTAGTGAGCAGAACAACTTCGACTCTGCCAATCTCTGTCGGCTCCGGCGGGCATGCAACACTCACAACGACCCTTAGAAGCTACACCGCAGTCTACGTACGGACTTGTGAGGGAGTGGCCGTTTTTGGTAGTGCAAGCTGTACAGCCCCATGGGGTCTCCAAACCGTCACTTCTACTCCCGCTCCCAGGGACGAGCTAACCTCACACTGCGCCCACTGGACTGCGTTCACTACCACTACAAGCCCAGCGAAGGCCGGTGTGGTGAATTGTGCTACTCCGGTCAGTTTCAAAGCGTCAAGTGCGATTCCCAGTCCAACAGTGTGGATCCACGGTGTTGAATTCTCGCCGTTCCAAATGGATTCAGGCCCAATCCGGCAGTTTTGCCAGACTCTAATTGCCGACAATATCGTTTTTTACGAAGGATCTGAATTCGCAGATGATGCGGCGAGTCTCGGTCAGGTATCGCCGGGAGAATGTGAGCTCTTCCGCTCGACTGGAAACTCGAAAATGGGCTATAATCTGACACTTGCTGTTGCATACGACGAAAATGGGTGTCCATCGGCGTCCAGTTCCCTCAGAAAGGGGATTTCCATGAAGAAATATGGCCTGAAAGACTGCGTGGATTCGTTTTTGAACAAGCTAGCTAGCAAATGTGAGTCCCCCGACGTTCGTGCACAATCTTGAGGGGAGTTTCTCCGCTAACCATAAGCAGGCGAATTTTCGGACGGGGATGCGAAAAAGGCAGGTCTTGATCAATGGACTAAAGTTGGTGGGATGTACTGGGGAGATTGCTTGCGATGGACAGCCATTGCTGCGAGGAACGACTTGGAACCTGGTGACACCGTCGATGCAGGTTTGATTTAATATCCGTTAACGAGACACTACTGCAAACTGCTATCGGTGAAGCTGTTTAGCTGGAAGTCGAGATGGCGACTTTCGAATCAAGCATTATCGTCTGTTGAACGAACAAGCCTCGCCTGCATTGGCTTTCCCCAAACTACTTGCGGCGCAAATTCCAAGAGCAAGTTTGTTGTTTCTGACAAGATGAGGGTTGCTGATGCTCGTTTCTCTTGCGGATTTCAGATGCAGCACCGAGTGTCTTGTCACCGAGAACCTGTATCTACTCACTTTATGTGCGCCATGTCCTCCGATGCACGCAGCTCGCTAGTAGCCTTAAAGTGCTGGTGTACTTTCTTCGTGGAATGCGACGTTTTGTTGCCCACTGAACAGTCACATTCTTTGATCCTTTGCAGGCACATACCTCCGAACCAAGGTTACTATGGAGTCAGTTATTTTGGTAATTGTTTTGAATCAATGGATTGCATCAAGGTTCAGTCTCTTTCATGGTATGTTGTTTGCACATGTCCTATCCCAACGGCAACAGAGTCGAGTCCGCGGACTTTCAATGATATATTGATCAGGCGCGCACAGGAGGTGACGAAGAGTAAAGAAGGGAACAGTCAGGAAAGTGTTCAGGTTAAGATACCTGGAGAAAAATCAGGATGCCGTCGTTGTGGCTTGAGGAACTAGAGCAGTTACGGCACGACCAGTCGAACAATATACCCCACTCGAACGAAGCGCAGCGCCCTAGCACCGGGGTATGCGGTCCATACTCGTGGGATTCAAGCATGCGTCAGGAACAAATACGGGCTATGATGGCTTTACAGTACTCAGATGATATCAATAGGTCCAGGTGGAACGAGAGCCAGCAAAACAATGACCTCAGTTACAGCCCGGCTTTTTCAGGTTCTCCAGTCGTCTCCAGCACGGCTCCCCAGACTCGATCTTCGGACATCGATTCACTGTTCGAAGGCAGTGACGCCGGGGGCGAGATCTCGATGCTACAGAGTCGTTTTGAGGAAACAGCAGGCGAAAGTCCAGCAGACGCTATATCGCATCACGGTCACGACCGGCCTTCCGCTTGCGGACCCAGCCGACAGCTCCAAGGCCAGCAGAGTGCCTCGTTGTCCGAAGCAGAATACGAACCCGAGGAGCCGGCCCACGGTGAGGGAGGATACGAAAGACACCCAGCAACGCAAGAGGAGGTGCCACGCAGGCAATTACCAGAAAACGGGTGGCATTCCAATGACAACGAAGCGGCATGGCAAAGCATCTCACAACAACGCGAACAACTTCAAGGACAACGGGAGGAAACAGACACAAAGCGTGAGGACGTTCACGATTGTTCATGTGGGTGCTCCACGTCGGAATCCCTTTGCCATCCTTCATATTGCGAATGCTTGGGATGCGACCACATCGAGCAAGCGAGGCAATTAAAGACCGAGGCGGAAAGAAAATGGCGCTATGAAGAGCATTCTAGTGACGAGACCTGCGGCTGCGGAGACCCCAAGAAGCAATGTTCATGCCTTCCAGGCTTGTGTCAATGTGCTACTTGCAGCAAGCATGGGCATCGGATTGTGGAACCCATCAGACACTGCGGATGTGGTACAACCGGTCAGACGTGTCGCTGTCAACCTGATCAATATTCGTGCACCGGTTGTGATGAGCATCCGGGCTGTGAAAACGACGGAGATCTCGCCGAGCTCGAAGTATATCAGGAACAAGCCGCAGACTATCAATCACAGTCTCAACCATTGCCGCAGATCGAACTCTACATCGGGGGCCAGCGCACGACAACAGCTACAAATGCCACGCATGCCTGCCGGTGCATACATGGTAGTATTTGCTCCTGTTCGGCTAGGAGATGCGAATGTGATAAGGTGCATTCGGTGCGCAATGGAGCAGAACCGCACAATGAACAGCATCCGGCTACTCAACCCTGCCTTTGCAGAGACGCTCGAGACTGTACCTGCCCTTCCGGAGCTTGCAGGTGTTGCAACAAAGAGTCTGCATTGGAGCCCAGGGCCTTGCACAGAGAGGAGCCTGCTGAATTCCGTCGCGCTACAAGTTGGGCACCGAGACAGGAATATCGTCCACCGCCCCCCAAACTCACAGAATTGATCGAAAATCCAACGCATGGACTGTCACCGCAGATAAATACTCCGACATTCAGTCGAAAGGATTCGGTTCTGGGAATGCCACGGGCAGCAACGCCAGCGTTCGGTCGGCAATGCTCGATAACCCCAAGTCGTCCAGATACTCCACGTCCTCCTGCCGGATCGACTCCTTCGACACCGTACGCGGCAGATGTGCTTCAAGACTATGTTCAACAGAGTATAGAGCTCGGGCTGCTGCCGCCGAACCAAGAGTACATCCGACCCAGTGTCGAGCCCGAACTCCCACCGCGGAACCGGGCACGCGAGTCGACGCCCGCACATGTGGTCCGCTCATCCACACCATCTCCGTTCTCCAGGCGAGGCACAGATGTGGATGTTAGAATGCGAGACGCTTCCGGAACAATTTTGCCAGGGGACCTGGGCCGAGAGCTCTCGCTTCCGCCACCGACCTCCCAACCAGTCTCTGTCGTTAGTTACCGCCCCGCCGTGTCTCGAGTCAAGCCGGCCCTTCCCCCCATACCGGACAGTGGTTCTCCAATAAACCAGCCAAAACGCGGCGAGCGGAGAAAATCCGCCGTGCAGGGCTCAAAGGTTGAGAAGCGCTCCGTAACGGGGTCGACGTCGAAACCGAAGAGTCGAAACGTGACTAGGAAGTCGACAGCATCGGTTGGCAAGTTGGTCGACAAGGCCAAGAAGAAGACCAAAGATGCCGCTGAAAATGCTGGAGGACAGGGACAACCGACGGCCACAAGCAAAGATGGCGGCAAAGTCGCGGCCGCGGTGGCAAAGATCGAGCAGCAAGTTAAACAGCAAGACGAGGAGAAGCATCCGAAGCAGAAGGACGGGACGGCTGTGAGAAGGAGTCGGCGTGCCAACAAGGGAGTGCGGACTTCGCTTGGATATACTTGACGTAGGCAGCAGAGATGGAGATGATTGTTTCTGTTTTCTTCCTCTATTTCCTCTCCATGGGACTTCGATTTTGTCGAGACTCAGGAGGATCGTTTTGACGCGTACTGTGTGAGATATATACAAATATATTATCGCGATACTCTGCGTCGAATTCTGACCTCTCCAGAGTCCGTTTCCATTCCCAGGCCGGGCATGACCTACTTTCTACTGACCAAGGAATCGACACGAGCAGGTTGATGTCAAGATGACGAAGTCCTGAACGAGTCGACGATTTTCAATAAGCACAACGCCGCCGAGTCGATCGCAAGGCCAATCAACACCAATTCCGTTGGACTCGGTGACATTGATTGAAGAGAGACGAAAACTAGCCACGTTGCAGTTATGCAAAGAGATATCGAGATCTTTGTTGGGTTGACGCTTGACTGGGACGGCCAAGAAGGCAGCCTCCTAGCCTTGGTAGTCCCAAGCCACCTCCATCAACTACCTAGTGAGCTAGGTATGCGAAGCACTCAAAGCACTGCAGCCCAACGCGCCTCATCGTTCCCTAATAGCCTCCATTCTAGCAGACGAATTTTGCAATGGGATCAAGTTCAGGCTACCTTGCTGAAGCTGGCAAGCTGAGCACCTTGATGGTCAATCGAACCCTCCTGAGACGACAAAGCAATCGAAAGCTAAGTCGTCGTTGACATAACCTAGTCCACCGAGAATCTTGATCTTTCGTTGAGGAGTGACGCACCACACGAGACTAATCAACAAGCAGACACTCGAGCTAGAGCTCTTCAATGACCCGGTGCCGGCAGAAGCACGCTACGCCATTTTCTCGCACACCTGGGAAGATGACGAAGTTACTTTCGAAGACATGAAAGGCCTTGCTGTCGCTAGGGGGAAGAGAGGTTTCGCTAAGATTCAAGCCGTCTGTGCCTTGGCAGTCGGTCATGGTCTCCAAATGCTTGGGTCGACACCTGTTGTATCGACAAATCTTCGAGCGCTGAGCTGAGTGAAGCTGTAGATTCAATGTTTCGATGGTCCAGGAATGCGAATCTCTGCTACGCTTTTCTTTCCGACCTGATGACAAGGCTGTCTAGCCAGCCTGAGGATCCGATGACAGGGCTATCTTACCGGCCTGAGGATCTTCGCAAGTGCAAATGGTTCACAAGGGGGTGGACGCTACAGGAACTCATCGCCCTGGCAATATTGCTGTTTTATGACAAAAATTTGAATCTGACTGGCACCAAAAAGAGTCTCAGTCCAGATATTGCAGCCATCACCGGTATACATCAATACTTCCTCGCGGGACCCGACGCAATATCAACGATTCCTCTTGCTAAGCGAACGTCTTGGGCTGCGGATCAAAAAACTACCCGAGTAGAAGACTTGGCCTATTGTCTTCTAGGTATATTTGACGTCAACATGCCACTGATATACGGATGAGGCATCGGGACTTTTTTCCGACTGCAAGAAGAGATTTTGAAGAAGACCACTGATTTGTCACTGTTTGCTTGTCAAAGCGATACCGAATCGTCGCGCCCAGGCACATTTGCAACTTCGCCTGTCGAATTTCGGAAATGCGGTAACATTACATTGATTGAAGATCAGTGCCGCTTTCGTGACGAGATCAGTCGCCCCGATCGTGGAGTCAAGATCAATACCGCAGTTCAATTCTACTGTGACGGAATTGAGATACTGAATCTGCGCTGTTACGGCCAATACCAGGGCGGACCGGAGCCAAGGGTGGGCATCTATCTGAAGCGGATTGTGGACACGTACTTCTGTCATCGGCCAGATCGGATGATACAGTCGAGAGTTGCGCCGCTAGGACGTCTTGCTCTACCCATATAGCTGGCTTCGACCCTCAGCCAAGGCAGATTGCACGCCATCTTGCGTGACGACAGTTACCAACGCATTGGTGTCGAATTCCCCAAGGACAGTGCAAAGTTCAGAGTTGGAGAGATCAAAGCTGTCCCTGAGACATATTGGCATGCCAGCGAGAGATATTTTTCCATTCGCGGCCTCGCCAGGTTTCATTGCCTCGTTCGTTTCTGTGTAGTATCGCGGTTGTACGGGAACCCTCCCTGGCAAAAGACGCCATGTTCATCCTGGTATGTCATCTTGCAGATGGGTCCTCGCTCCGTCTCGGTCTGTATACAGAAAATTCCCTGCAAATTAGACCCAAAGGATTTATCGATCCCTTCAAGAATATCGAGCAATACGGCCCCATGGGCGATCCATTCAGTCTCTCGGTCCTGAGGCCGCAGATGATCTACCCCTAACTTTAGCGTTTCACAGGACCTGAGTCCTGATCAATCGAAGCTTATCAACCTTAGCACCTTATTGTTGTCTGGCAAAATATCTCCGGACAAGGCTCAGCGGTGACTGGGTCACAAAGACCCCTTCCAGGCAGCATTTCAGGTACGGTGTTGACTGTATGATGAGGAAGGCACTTTTGCCCGCCGCCGAGCGATTTGCGTCCAAGTCCTTGCACATGGCCGTGATGCTGTCCTTTGTACAGGCGACTGGCTCTAGGGCTCCTGCCATGGTGGAAACGGTGGCCTGTACGTCAATCAAGCTCATCAGCAGTTCAAGCATAAAGCTCCAGTAGCAGATTAATGCCCCTGCTTTCTGACCATCCTGGAATCTCAGCTGGTACCTTGGGTCTTGCAGGTCCGGTATGCACACTGGATCCGTGTAGGAATTGGTATTGTCCATGACGCTATCTGTGTTCCAGTAAAGGGGGGTTGCGGCGTGTGACTTTTCGAAGTCATAGAGCCATGTTTCGAGATCCGACTTAACCCTTGCGAAATCCGCAACAAGCTGCTGGGCTGCCATCAACCCCTGGATGAGATCGCTTGCCTTAAGCGTCGCCTCAATCGAATCTGCATCGGGTCTTTGCACGAGTGAGGAGAGAAGGTCGTCCGTACGACGTAATAATGCAGGAATCTCTAGGGCGATATCGTGAAGGATTTCTCTCCTTGTCTTGGGGCGATAAAAGAATGGCGTGTATATCCATGCAGGCTGGGACAGGAAGGTAGGACGTCTCTTCTCCAAAGCGACGAATATCTGCAATTTGTAGCTTTCAGTACGAGACGTTGGGACTATAACGCAGAATGTCACAACAGAAGCCGCTTACAGTTATACCACGGAGCCCCGAGAACGACTGGAGCAGGTAAGGCGATTGGTATACTTCAGGTCCGGATAGCTGGAGGAGTTTGAGCATTCCCTCGTGATGGGTCAGAAAGCCAGACCGAGTCGCTCCCATATCATTCACGTACTGGAACGAGTTAACCACCAACAATCACATCGTGAGAAGTGGATCGGTGGAGCGGTTGAGACCGTACATACCTCGAACAGCTGCAGCGCTGTAGATAGAGCGAGAAAAACCTGACAGTAGCCCGTCTGCGGATACGCCAACTCCGCAGGGAAGCGAGATCCGATGAACAGGCGAAACTCGCGAACCGCTGAAGTGTATGCAGAGCGGGCCATTTCTGTCAACTTCGGGTCCTTGACCAGGAGGCTCAAATACATAGTCAGGAGGCTGAATATCGACATGTCCAATATATGCCTTTCAGATTGCTGTGCGAGAGGCAGCAACGAGCGGATGCATATCGCCACGCTCGAATAATCGCCCTCGGTCGACGGCAATGGCACTCTATCGCCGCTGAAGACGCCGAGGTGTTTCTTCGGTTGGAACGCGTCCAGCACTGTCGAGTAGAAGTACTCTACTGGTTTTGCTGTTAGAGACGCACTGGCTCTTAGCAGAGAGGCTTGGGTGCTCCGGATTAGGCTCTGGAGAACATCGATAGGCGTGGCAGCTGTCATCACGGGCCGTGTTTCAGGTGCTGGGTCAGGTGCACGGTGGGCAGTTCGCCGCTGCATCGCGATCCGGAGAGCGCCACGATGGGATTGCGCGTGGAAGTTTTCTGCATTTCGGTGGATGTAGATGCGGTCGGCGTTAGGTCCACTGCATTTGAGGCCCCTAGAAACACATCGGTGACACTCGGGTTCCTCGAGACCGCACTATTAGTTGTCGATATGGTATCAGCCACGGTGACGCGCGACATGGTGTGTCTACCAGACAACTTGCCTTCTTGCGTCTTCGGCGACACTCGTCACAACGCCGCGATGTCCCCGGTGAACTGTTCATTGTTCCAAAGAGGAAGAGAGGGCGACGGGAGATGAATAGAAAAGGTCTGCTTGGCACTTGATATCAATAGTCGCAAGGGAGAGCCTGTTTAGTAATCATCCGGGTCGAATGGGAGGCGACACATGCGGGACTTATAAATGCAAAAGTGTGGAGTATGTTAAGACCCCTTGTCAGCATATTCCAGCGCTAGGCCCAAGTGGGCAGTCAGCGCGCCAGGCAAGAGCGAATCATGGTCCGCAAGGCTGTATTTACTGCTCTGCCCCTGGACGTATATATGAGAGAGGAACCTCGGACAGCGAGAGACATGTCCAAATTTGCCACGAAAATTTCTTTTCTAGAGCCAGTTCAATCAATGTCTATCGATTGACACTTTTGCTGTTACTCCAGGCTCTTAACCCATTCACTGACAGTCAAGATCCTGTTCGCGAACAATGGCCAGATCAACTGCGTGGCCGCGTTCTTCTGCTCCGTGCTGAAGCCAGCTGTCGCGTCCGAGCTGTACCGGTTCTTAGTTTCAAGGCTTCAAAGACAGACAAGAAGGTGGGCAGGTAGAACTTTCTACTTACATCATGGTCAAATTGTACCCACTGCGTCAGCCAGCATTAGCATGGTTGCATCTAAACACTGCACAGGGACAACTCACAGTTCATATCCGTACCGTGCTGTCGCTTCGACGCATGTATTGGTCACGAGGCCGGCGAGGACCAGGTTACGGATTCCCCGCTGTCGCAGTTGATAGTCCAGGTCAGTATTGTGGAAAGAGCTTCGCCCAGTCGAGACAGCGTCAGCCAACTAGACTACATACCACAGTCGCAGGATTATTTTACCTCGAGTTCCAATGCTTGGAGACGACGACGTCCCCATTATTTGGGTTGGGCCCTAAACCCTCGTATACCTCTGCACCCCACGAACCCTTTTCGAAGACCAAGTTCTTTCCGAGACCTTCCAGTGACCAGTTCATCATGGACCAGCCTTCAAAGGAGTGCTTGTCCGTTTGCTGATGCAGGCAGTAGTAAATGGGGATTTTGCGTTTGCGAGCCGTTGCGACAAATTCTTGCAAATGCTGGATAGTTCCCGTGGCGGCAATACTCTCCGCCAATCGAGGGTTCAGTTTACCCTTTGGATGGAGGAAGTCGTTGTAAGGGTCGATGAGGAGGACAGCTGTCTGGTTTGCCATGGTTGGATACTATACACGATAATCTTGGGAGATTTGGTGTTCCTGTCGCAGCTGAGAGGAGGATTTCGGCGTCTTAAATATACTTCCCAGATGATTAATCAGGTTGTCCGTAGCTTCGACGAGGCTCGTAAAGTATGCGTCCTTTGTAATGGTCTTGGCTTGGGGCGTGCTTGAAGGCCTCATTCTATCCAATTATCACCATTGCCGACTTCATCCCTTAGATAATCGTCTTATCCTAATAGGGCAGTAGGCGCGCCGACGATACGTCAGACAACTGCACGAGCCAGGGCATATTGCATCGAGTCCCAAATCCTGGAACGACATGGACAGGCTTATACATGTATATTGCGTCGACCGTTCGGAGTCGGGATCCTGCGGGTATATGGGTGCGCAATCAGACAACGACCAATTCCTCGTGCTACCGCCACATACGATATAGTGTTAACAACTCTTGACGATGCAATCTTTTTACTGTCAATGGCTCCCAATGACGAGGCTTGCAGGTCCGTCAACCCTTACCCCTTAGCCACCCTATCGACCTCATCCGCAAATTCCTTCAGATTCTGAAACCTCCACGCGTATCCGACCAACTTCTTTTCCAGTGCTATTTTACTCTCCGCCTCCTTTCCCCATCTGGGCCCATCCCCAATCAGCCACACAGAACTCAGTCCCAACCTCTTTGCAGGGGCTTGATCGTGACCAAGGCTCTGTGCAACATGAAGGATTTCCTCTTTCTTCACGCCGTGGTCGGTGCAATACTGGATGAGAGTCTCCAGTTTCGCCTCATCCGCGCGAGTCGCGTCGTCGCCGAAATCCTCTGCATTGAAGACTTTCCACCAACTTACCTCTCCGAGGCAACTTGCGGCCGAGTTTGCAGTGATGTCCCAGGCAAAGCGATCGATATTCGAAAGTGCCACAAGCTTGTAGCGCTTGCTTAGTCGCTTCAATGCATCCAGAGTTCCCGGAAACGTCGGCCATCCGGAAATCACAGCCTCGCTTCCAAATTTTCTTGCTTCGTCGTCGCTACTTTGAACACCTAGTTCCGTGGCGATCCGCCTCCATATCTCGGCTAGAATTTCATCGAATCGTTTCACGGGCTTCTCAAGCTTAATGGCGTCCTCCTTGCGTTGAAACAGCTTCAGAAACTCAATAGAGCCCACGGAGGCGGAGTCAGGAACCGTTGTGGTTAACGGGTTGGAATTGAGAAACGGTGACGACGGTGGGAGACGTGAGAGGAGGGGTTGAAACGAGTCCAGAATAAGGGCTTTATATTCGATGAGACTGCCGTAGACGTCAAAAGAGAGGACTTTGTAATCGAGAAGCGGCAGCGGCGGGACCGTGGGCTCTGGCATGGGGAGGGCCATGATTGCTGCCAAGTGTAGGATTTTGAATCGGTATTTCCCAATCTTATAAGTCTTAGTTCACTTCCTCGACTGATATGATGGTACGAGGTGGACAGAGATGAGATGACAACTGAGACTCTGTCCACTTCAAATGACATTGTGACGGCTTCAAAAGACACACGTAGACTATTTCGGCCTAGTGCCACTTCGTCACACAATCACGTGATAAGTTAGCTAAAGCGGCGACAAGGACAAACTAGACTCGGAAGGAGCGGCCCGTAGCGTCGACGGCCGACGAAAAAAACTGTAATTTTCGCTTTCCAACGTCGAAGACTCATTGACATCAAAACTGGACTTGGACGGCAATTGACACACACTCCACACAGCACATGGGCAGACCAATATATCCGCTGGAGCCAAATATCGCTTGCGTGGGCCGCTAAATCGCCTATCGGGTTGACAATTACCCATTCCCGTGGCCAAAAGAACGGGTAATTCACATGAGGACCAGAAGTCGCCTCAAGCGAGAATCAGCAGCAGCCACTCAACCACTCATCTACTATAAAAGGAATAACGGAGTCAAGTCATCGATGGCTGTGCGCCACCGAAATACCCTGAATACAGTCCAAAATGATGTGTTGAGCGCCAGACTGTATTTTCATTCTCCTTGTTTCATTGCATTACTCTCTTGGGTTGCTACTGAACTCGTATTACTCCGTACTTTTGCTCTAAATGGTCTCGTACCGGATCCGACGGCATCGTCGGTAGGCACTTACCCTTTTTCGCAGTTGAATGACACTAATTGTCTACATTCGGTTCCAATATAAAGCGACAGCTTCAGGGTCCAAGCCACGAATGATGGTGGCTGGCTGAGCCTTTCGCATGGCATGCAGCTTTTCGGCTAGAGTCTACCGTTCGAAAGGTCCGGACCCTCACTCAGCTAGCCTTGAAGCACTCATAAGTCATTATGTGAGCCTGGACTTCTCTTGATTTGCTCTTTTCGGGGAATCGCAATTCCTTCATGCATGTCCGTTCAGATGACGGACTTGAATGCGGCAACGTCTGTCTGGAGCTGACACCGAGGGGTTGAATTCCTGCACGTGGTTGAGACAGCTGAATCTAGAACTCCCAAAGGTCTTCAGCGTCTGCGACAGATATTTTTGTATAAATGGTCATCCCTCCTCTGCCCTCGAGTCTTCTTGCTTCCTCAAGCATCGACGTCTTTTGGGATTCTTAACCACGTCCAGAGTTCCGCTGTTCTCCTTGCTCTGTCTTAAACTTATTCTTGTAATCTCTTGCTCTCACCAAGACGATATGGCGGCTGTCGTTGTACCGGCCGGCCTTTCGCCAAATGTCGACTCACCCAGCTTTGAAAAGCTGCCCAAAATTGATGTCAAGCCCCTAGTCGAGGACTCGTTGCTTGCAAGTCGGCCAAAGTTCGAGCTCGCCCCGCAGGTCTCGATCAAGTCCATTCCGGAGGACAATAGGTCGGAAGCTTCTGACGATGCCGTCAACTCACTGATATGCGCCCATGCCCCGGTCCGCTCCACCTATCACAGGGAGGCCGTCTCTTTCCGATCGGATATCCAAGTGCACCTTAGGTCAGTACAAAAGACGAGCGACGACATGCTCTTCAAGATTCGTGAGATTGTCGAAAGCCTTGACAGGGCCACGCATGAGAAACTGCTTCACAAAGAGCAATATGACGGTCTGTGCCAGAGATACAAGGATATTACCGCTCGCCTCGAGATTTCCACTCAAGAATGCGTCACATTGAGAGCCAGACTTTACGAGATGTCCAAGGCACGCGATCGTGCCGAAATTGAGCTCGAAGCTCTTAGCGGTCACCTACTCGAGAAGGAACACGAATGCGCGGAACTCAGAGAAGAGACCAGCACTCTCCACAAGCAAATCGTCTCCATGGAAGCCACACTCGTGGGCCTCACTTCCAGACTTGTCGAAGCCGAGGCAACTGCAAGGATCCGCCTGGAGGAATACAATGCTGCGGTCAAGGAGCTTGAGATTTTGAAGGCTTCTATGGCTGTTCTCTTCGCCGAGAAGGAGACACTGGCCACGGAGCTTGCAATCACACGCATGAAATTCAAAGAAGTCTCCTCGAAGCTTGAAGTTGTCAAGCAGAAGTTCATCAGCATTGAACACAAGTGCACCGCTCTTGAAACAGAGCTCAAGTCAGTCAGGGAGGAACTCATTAAGGCAAAAGAGGCAAGAGACAAAGCGATCACAGAGCGGAAGGATGCCATCCACGAACGTGATATTGCTGTCCAGCGTATGGACGAAGCAATCGAAGACCGGAATGGTGCCATCAGAGCTCGTGACGGCGCCATTTTCGACTATCAGAGTGCCAAAACTGAGCTGATCCGGGATCAAGCCATGCTCAAGGACTGCCAGTTGAACCTGGAGACACTCCAAAAGAGGTTCGAAATCGTGATCAGAGAGCGCGATTATGCTGTGCATAACCAGTCCAGTCTGGAGCATTATCGGGATGAACTCGTTGAACAATTCAAGGAGGCCGACAGCCGTGCTCATGGCTTCAAGTTCGAGCTCGAAAAGGCCACCGAGGCTAGGCAACATGCCGAGAACGAGGTCCAAGCCACCCTGAAGAAGATGGAAATCCTGTGCCATGATAAGGATGTCATCGTCCTTGAGCGAGAACAGCTCTACCTTCAACTGAAGGAATCTGAGGCCAGACGGAATGAGGCCATTGCCAAGGAATCAAAGGCATTTGAAGAGCTCCTCGAAGCGACACAAGAGTGCACAAACGTGACGAAGGAGTACGAAGACATGGAGGATAAGTTCCAGAAGGCCGACAAGGAGCGCGCCATCCTCGACGAGAAGCTAAAGATTATTGAGGCGGATCTCAAGGCCGCCAAAGTGAAGGAGGCACTGATGGCGGACCAGCTGGAGCACACCAAGGCAGACGAGATCAAAGCGCTTCGAGAGCGGAACGAGATGTTCGAGAAGCTCTCGGATTCCGAAGAGCTCAGCAAGACCCTGAAGCAGCAGAAGGACGACATGGAGAAGAAGCTAGAAGCCAAGATCAAGGATCTTGAGGGGAAGCTGGCGCAGAGTGGAGAGGATAACATTGCTCTTAAAGACAAGGTCGTCAGCCTCGAAAAGTCCTATAGCAAGGCTGTTAGCGAGAGAAACGAGAAGGCAAGAGAACTAGAAGACACGAAGCACCAGGCTGCTGATCAGAAGAACAAGCTTGACAAGGAGATTGTCGATCTCAAGGACGGCGTTGCCAAGGCCCAGAAGAAGGAGCACGAAACTGAGAAAATGCTGCAAGAGAAGACCGCTGAGCTTGAGAAGGAGAAGGGCGCCATGAAGAATTACGCTGGCAACGGTGAAGTGCGGGGGAACATCTGGGTCAAGAACATCAACTATGGAACGGCGCGTCTCCCAGATACCCACAAGGCATACAAAATGGCTCTTGATCGCTTCTACAGTGCAAAGACTCCACCAGTCAAAGCGGACAACAAGTTCATCGGCTTCGACCCTAACGTCGGTGTTCAGAAGACGCTGATTGTACGCTGGGCTCAGAAGGACAAAGAGGGCAAGTGGGACGACAAAAAAGCTCTTTCTGTGTTGGAGCGAGGACCAGGCCCCAACGGTGACGAGATTGATTTTCCGGTCGTTGGAAAGGTCTAAATCAAGCGAAGAGGCCCTTCAGAGGGAGGGGAGGGCGGAGGCGTGGCGGCGAAGCGGCAACCTTAAAAGCTACCGACGAAACAGAGAGGGCTGGTTTTTTCTTTGTGTTTTACTTGTAAAGTGATTATTTGATTCCTTATGTATTCTAGATTTGCGAACTCAAGAACATGGGCAAAATTGCGCCAAAATCGGTGATCGAAGCCAAGTTATCAGCCCTGCCAATGATGCAGTCGCTGTGGTCAAGGGATGTGGATGGTTCAGGTTCATTTGCGAACAGAATTAGCGGAGAGGGGCAATTTACCTCTGCTCAAGGCAGCTCATTTTTGTACAAATGTGTGGCATCAGGAAGTCGCAGCCTTGCACAGCCTGATCATTGACTAACATGGAGCACTCACCAAAACAGACTTAATTAAGTTCCCTTTCGGGGTACACGGCTAGCACCGGCTACTAGCCCCAAGCAGTAGATCCGATGGCCGTCATTCTCTGAGACAAAACACTCACAGACTGAGCAAAACCTTGGTCTCTCCCTTGCGCTTTGTTTCAGCGCCATATCCCAGGACAATGTTTGCTAAGAAACCAAAACCAATAATGGTCTGGATGATGGAGTCCGGCGAATTCAGCGACCTAAAGTTTCCTTTGCAATGGCCAGGAGTTCAAGGTCCATAAGGCGGTTGTCTGCGTGCAGTCACCCACGACCAACGCTGCTACTCGAGGACAGTTTGAGGTGAGATTCCCTCAGCGGCGGAGCTTTTTGCGCCACAAGTTACTAACTCGACAATCCAGGAAGCAAAAACCAATTTGTTCGTGATGGATAGCTTCCATCCTAGGACCGTGAAACGGCTGGTGCAATTCTTGTACACCGGCGATTACGACGTTGACGACGATGAGCATGAAGCCACTCAGGGAAAACTTCTGGAGATGACATCGATGAAGCTGAGGAAGGTAGGGAAATCAGTCTCAATCAAGAGATGGTTTTGGAGCTAATGTCACCAGAAGCACCATGTTGGCCGAGAAATCAATGTCAATTTGATAGCAATGAAGAGAACAGCAACAATCTCCTTTTAGGGCAGCCTCCCTTGCAATTGCCACAGGCATTGAACGCAACAGCTTGCCTATTCGAGCATATCCGTGTCAACTCTATCGGCGATTACTGCCGCATCGACGAACTTGTTTCAATAGCGAACACCAAGATTCAGCACCTAGTTCGGAGTGATGGAACTAGTAACATCGAATCCAGGATCGAAAGCCCGCCCGAGGCAACCGAAACGGTTGTCCGCTCGACAGGAGACGATGAACTACGGAGGATCTTAGCGTCGGCAACCGTACCGAACATTGCCTTCCTGGAGCCCGATCATTTCAAGAAGCTGAGCGTCGGGACGGACGTTTCGACAATGGCAATGCAAGGCTGCGCCCAAAAGAATAAAGACCTCATGGGGAAAATCTACAATCTCGGGGTTCGGCTACAAATGGCGGAGAGCCTATCACAGGATACCACCACGGCGGAGGTCTTAAAACAGAAACGTTGCTTGCGGGTCTTGAACGGGATGGCCCAGTGTTCTTGGTAGGCAATGCAGCGCTAAATTCTGGGCTACTATTGACCTCGACGAGAACCTTGTTCGGTGCAGCAAGGGCCATTAACCAGTATAGGCACTATGATTAAGTCGTCGCCCTTTATTGCGTCGATATCTGACCTATTGGGAGATGGCTAGCACGGCTTCCGTTAACGCGGCTGCTGTGGCTGCGGCAGTGTCGGCATATCAACTCATTTCTGCCAATCGTGCCGAGTCTCCAGGTGTACTCCGTACGAGGGAGTAATAGCCAAGAGATAGCCAACTGGATACAGGTGGGTCAACCCTTTTTGAGAAGCATGTGATGCCGCCCTATTCCCGTTGTCTTTCCTAAACAGTCTAGTCTGACATGCCTCGTTGGGACTCGGAAAAGCTTCCTCGTTTCACGTCGACAACTCTCGGAATGCTGAAAGCGATATCATTTCTCTCCCTGTCTTATCGCCTCGATTCTCGTGTTGTCTTAGCGTCTGAATCACGCATACAATACACTCTGGTCTTGACACCAGCCCTACGATGCAACAAGCTACCGCCGGCAATGAGTCTCCCCGCAGACGGCGTTTCAAAATACGGAGCGAGTTTGGACTTGCTAGACAATGGCGAAGCCGGAAGAACCGCCCCTGCGACGCCTGCCGTAGACGGAAGAGCGCCTGTGTCATCGAAGATCGGCCTCCATGTGAGTGACTGCGCAGAAGAGCTTCAGTTCGCAAAGCTTACTTACCAGCAAAGGCCTCTTCTGTCGGGGAAGGGGGTTAAACTGTCAATCCACTTCAGAGCCCCGAAGCATACGACATTCCGGCAGTCAGGAACCAGACCCAGACGATGAGCGGATGGAGCCATTAGAATCGTTGACTGAGTCATACTCTTGCGAAGACCGAGTGCTAGCCATGCAAACCAACCCTGGCGATGCTGATGGCCATCGGCCTCTCTCCTCGCCAAGTTCTCACGGTGGGGACGTCGAGATGCAAGGCCATCTGTCGAGCGCCCATCTAAGACCGCCTAGCAGCAATGAAGTCCATGTACTGGAACCCAAAGTCCATACTCTCGAAGACGGTAAGGACATGACAGCACATTGTTTGGGTCTATCAGCGGAGCAGGACACCCATCTCCTTGCATCCTTTCGATCCGTCATCATGAACGAGACAAATCGTGTCGCCGGTGACATCATCCAGGTCTACCCTGGCAGTCCTGCCACAGGCACACCACCTCTCCATTTCTTTATATTAAGGGACTGGTTTATGCCATACGATAATAGGATCAAGGAGGAATCCTCGCGCGAAATCGAATTCAAGGTTGGAACGCACGGTCCTAGTCTTGTCCGCCTTTTCTTCAAACATGTCCACCCTGTCTATTGTGTTGTGTCAAAAGTCCGTTTCCTCCGAGCATATAAGGAGGATAAGCTGAGCATTCCGGCATCACTACGAGGAGTGGTCTATGGAATGGGCGCTGTCTACTGGAAACAAGACCCTGTATTGAGGACAGTTCACCGCCCATTTGAACAATATGAGTTGTTTCTAGCTGCCCAGACTTCACTCGAGCGAGAGCTTGAGGCTCCAAACCTGTGGAAATTGCAGGCCTGTCTATTGATGCTTCACGAGAAGGCTGCTGGCAATGGCACGTTTGAGACTCCACGTACATGGACTTTATCTGCACAAGCCGTTGCGTGCGCTCAGATGATAGGACTTCACCGCGACCCTTCCACTTGGAATATTGCACCCTGGGAGAAGAGTCTGCGGAAGAAGCTGTGGTGGGCGACCTACGTGACGGACACCTGGGCGTCGGTGAGCCATGGGAATCCGTTTTTAATCCATGCAACCACTTATACGACGTCGAACCTCGACATGGATGACTTGAGATTCGATGAGGATGTCCCCGGAGATCTCAAGGATATGGTGGATGTCGCAAGTGCAAGCTTTGATGTTTCAACAGCAGCCCGTTTCCTGGAACTTGTGAAGCTTACCCAGATACTCCATAATTTGTTGGACACAGCATTGTAAGGACCCTCTCCAAAAAGGAAACGCCCAGACTAAATCTTCTTACAGCTCTGACCACGCCTACCGAGCTGCGATGCTGGACCTTGCGAGTCAGGAGACTAGACTCTTGAAGATTCAGAGAGAACTCGAATCCTGGCATTCACTGATGCCATTGTGTGTCACCATGAACTACACAAGAACTAGATTTCACTTCCGCAACAATGGTATGCGAGGCAGGAGAGACATTGAGATCTTGTGCCTTAGCTGACTGTCGACCAGCACCACTCCACCTTGCCTACTTTGCAACTCAAGTACTTCTCTTCCGAGCCTTGATGACCCCAGCCTCGATGGCTGCCAAAAGCAATCCGCTCTCGTCCCTGCGACGGTTCTTCGGAGCAGCAATAGAACAACTAGGTGCCTTTTTGGCGTTCATGAATGAGATAACGCTTGAGGGCCTTCGAGCATTCTGGGGCCGACGCAAGTCATCCTTTATTCCCTGTGATAATTTAGAGAAGTGCAAACTGACAGAAGTAGATGGAAGGTCACAGCTGATTCTTATTGGCAATTTCTTGATACATCTATTCCTATTATCGTCCAGTCCCGAGCAGGTCAGCGGGACGTTTCGACTCCTGGAGCATTTTCACGAATCCCTTCAGAGGATAGGTGAACTCGTGGACGAGGAATCCGTAGGTCTGATCCGGCCGGTAGCGCTGAGGATCGACTCCTTCTTCACCCAAGCGGCGCAGATCATGAGACGGAGCTCGACGACGGGTTCTTATTCGGAGGCAAGGATGGTCGATACACCGCCGTAAATGGGATATCTGCGGTCTCTATGACCAGCTAACCATAAATGTCGGTATAAGTCTCATTGGCTGAAGCCGCTTACGTCCGTCGCCGGCCAGCTTCTGTGCCTTTCCTCAAATAGGTCCGCATCACAGCAAGGCAACGCCCAACCCGGTATCTGACTCGATCTTCGCGCCCTTCAGGTTACCTATCTTTCCGAAGAGCGTGGGCTTGCTAAGCCAGTCACTCGTCATCTCCGAAAAATACCTTGATTGGCATCCACGAATCGTTGACGACCTTGAACCGCGTCTTGATACCACTGAGAGCTTCCATGTCGTGTTGGGACAGCTTCCAGCCATCCAACTGGAAGTTCGTCTCTATCCTCGAAGGTGTCACGCTTTTGGGGATAATGCTTGTGCCTCTCTGGAGGCTCCATGACAGCCTGGTGATCCGGTTAGTGTTTGGCATCATCGCTCCACACAAACATTGGACACTGACAAAATCTGGGCAGCAGTCTTGCCGGCGGTCTGAGCTATTTCCGACACTACGGGTTCCTTGTAGAGTGGGTTGTCTGTTGCACCTCCGAGGCAGGAATAAGCTGTACAGTGTATCCCTTTCGACGCGCAATACGCTAACAATTTGGGACTGCTAGTGGATCAACACCGCTCACCCACGCAGCAGAAGCAGTGTTGGGCGACTCACGATGGATTACCAGGGTGCAGCTCGATCTGGTTCACGGCAGGAACCACCTTGCAGGACGGATCACCCAGAAGTTTTTCCAAGTGTCGAATCTGAAAGTTGGACACGCCAATGTTCTTGACCTTTCCTGTATCCAGCAGCTTTTGCATCTCTCGCCTTGCAGTTCAGTCAATGGCCAATACCTTCAAGGTCATAGATTCCAACAACGCACCAGGTGTTTACAAAGTCCCAATCCGGCAGATGCTTCGAAGGATCTTCAGGGTCCGTGGAGCAAGGGAAATGCACGAGGTACAAATCGATGTATTCAAGTCCCAAGTCGCTCAAAGACTTGTCGAATCCTTCGCGGACTCTGTGGTGCCATGGATTGTCCAGCTTCGTGGTAACCCATATCTCCTCTCGCGGAACCCCTGAATCTTCGATACCCTGACCAACCTCGACCTCATTGCCATAATTCAGAGCTGTATCGATGTGGCGGTAACCGGTTCGAAGCGCGTGACAGACAGCGTTTCGGACTTGGTTTGGCGGCGACTTCCAAGTTCCAAATCCTACCGCGGGCATTTTTGCTCCGGTATTCAAAGTGAACTTCTGGGACGTGTGGCTGCTAGTTGCCATCCTTGCTTATCTTGGCTTTCGAAACGATGGCGATATCAATCTCGGACGTACAAGCCAATGCAAAATGATCATGCCAGGACCGCCTTGTAGAGTTGAGGGTTTTGTACCAGCTCGGCTGTGGTAGGTGTCGCTTGCGCGACATTCGATATCAACCACCGGCCCGTATTGTCAATTCTCGGACAGAGAAGTGGGTAGCCTTGTGACGCCACCAACACCTCGCAGGCGGAGAAGTCTTCCTATTCAAGATCTACCGACCCCAGTTCGCCGAATCTAGACCCCGACCACATAAGAAATAACTAACGTTAGTAGAGATCGGCCAACTTTAACTCCACTTCATCGGCCAACTTCGGACAACTGAATTACCAGCACGCTTATTGTGCCGCTTGACCAACCAATATGTATAAGCACTGTCTCAACTCCCCCTTCCCACCGAGATCGAAGTATTGCCCCATCCAACTCCTGCCACGACTACACGTTTCATTTTCTTTCGTAACAGATTCTTTCCTTGCAGAAACGTGCACCCCAACCGCAGCCTTCTTTGGCGAAAAAAGGACCAATATGGGACTCAAGTGGGAACGGCTCAAGGAGCGGCTCCAAGTGTGAGCAGTCCCCAGAGTGCCGAATACTACTATTGAAGATCAACTTGCTTATGATCGACGTTTCTAGGCCCAAAGACAAGCACTCGTACTATGACAACACCAGGTGGTGCAACAGGGATTTAATCCCCATGCCCCCGGAGAGGCGGACCTGGGGTATCTGGGGATATTGTGGTAAGTGGACTCAAGCGGCGCGCCTGGAACAGAATATTTACTGATATGTTCCAGGATACTGGACTGTCTCTGGATCATGTATTTCAGCATGGTCGACAGGAAGTACACTGCTCGCCTTTGGGCTCAGCCCACAGCAAGCCATTGGCGTCGTTGTATGCCATCG